AAATTCTAGACCTAGAAAACCTAGAACTACTCAGAAGTATATAAAATCATACATTGCAATGTCCTACCTGTCAATGAATACTTCAGCTTCAATCATAACAATACAAGAGCACACAATAGATACAAACTCAAGGTAAACCGCACCAAACTTGACTGCAGGAAATACGACTTCAGCAACAGAGTGGTCAATGTCTGGAATACTCTACTTGACTCTGTGGTTTCTTCCCTAAACCCCCAAACTTTAACCTTAGACTGTCTAATATTGACCTCACCCCTTTCCTAAGAGGTCTGTAGGGGGCATGCATAAGCATACCAACGTGCCTACCATCCCTGTCCTATTGTTCCTTTTTATTTTTCTTATATGTATCCATTTCATGTATTCATAATTATGTTTATACTTATACCTATTATTTTATAAGTGATTGACAAATCAAATAAATAAATAAATAAAAAGTACCGTGTTTCTCATAAAATAAGACCGGGCCTTATATTTTTTTGAGCCCCGAAAAAACGTCTAGGACGTCTTTTCGGGGGTGACTTAATTCCCCCCCTTGCATCCTCATCTAGAGTGCCCCATGGGCAGCCATCACCACCAGCCGCTCCTAACAGGTGATCATGGCGAAGCGCAGAGAGCTCCTTACTCCCACCAAACACCTTTGCTGCAGACCCAAGACCTTTGGCACCTGCCGCTGTTGCTTTCCCTTCTGCCCATTCTGCCGCCATGTTTGGAGCTGCCGCTTCCATGATTGGAGTGCCACTGCCATTTGGAGTGCCGCCATTTGGAGCACCGCCGCCACGTTTGGAGCTGCCGCTTCTGTGTTTGGAGCTGCCGCCGTGTTTGGAGCGGCGGTGGCACTACAAACGGTGGTGGTGCTCCAAACAGCAGCAGTGCTCCAAAAGCGGAAGCAGCAGCTCCAAACACGGCGGCAGTTCCAAATGCGGACATGGCAACTCCAAACAGCGGCAGTGCTCCAAACGCAGAAGCGGCAGCTCCAAACGAGGTGGCAGCTCCAAATGCGGAAGCGGCAGCTCCAAACAGCAGCAGTGCTCCAAACAGCGGCAGCACTCCAAACATGGAAGCGGCAGCTCCAAACGCAGCGGTGCTCCAAACAGCAGTGGTGCTCCAAATGTGGAAGTGGCAGCTCCAAATGTGGCGATGGCATGGGCAGAAGGGAAGTCAACAGCGGCGGGCACTGAAGGTCTTGGGTCTGCTGCAAAGGTACTTGGCAGGAGTAGGGAGCTCTCCGCACTCTGCCATGATCGCCCATCAGGAGCAGCTGGTCGCAAGGAATTGCTGCCCCTCCCCCCGCCCTTCCCCCCATTTTGCATGTTTTAAAATAGGCCTAAATTTGGGGGGAGGGGCTTAATTTCATTTTATGCCTAAAAAACATGCTGGGTCTTCCTATTGGGGGAGGTCGTATTGTTGGAGAAACACGGTATGCTTCTAATGTCTGATTTGACACCCCTGCTTTACATTAATGAAAGAGATGTCTTTCATAATGCAAATTGCACATTATGTTTCATTCCATTCCTAAAAAGTTAAGCAATTCCTTGCAAGAGAAGCATTTGGTGTGGTTGTTTGTGTAATATTCTTTCATTAATGTAAAGCAGTGGTGTCAAACTCGCATTGTCATGGCATCATGTGACATATCATGACTTTTTCCCCTTCGCTAAACCGGGTGTGAGTGTGGCCAATGTGTGACGCTTTCAGCCCATGGGCCACGCTATGGTAAAGTATCATATTGTATGCAGGCATATACAATTAGGGTGTTTTTACAACATTCCAAATAACACTGGGATATACATCATGTTGTGTACTAATTTTCAGTAATAGAATTCTTGGAGCTAATTGGATTTTGGCTATAAACTGATATAAATTCTTCAACATTGTTTTCAATGGTTTAACATTTCTGAAAATTTTCATTTGGGAAGCTTAAGAAAAATAGTTTTACACTCTGGGTGGAAAGAATTTTATTGCTAATTGTATCTATTTTTTATGTTGAAATAAAAAGATCATGAGAGTCAGTTTGATGTAAAGTATAAAGCATCGGACTAGAAACTGGGAAATGGTGAGTTCTAGTCCCACCTTAAACACAAATCCAGATGGGTAACTTTGGGCCAGTCAATTTCTTTCAGCCCTAGGAAGGGGTCAATGGCAAACCACTTCTGAAAAGCCTTGCCAGGAAAAAGGCAGGAACTTGCCCAGAAGTCTTGGAGAGAATTGGAATGAATGAATGAATGAATGAATGAATGAATGTATGTATGTATGTATGTATGTATGTATGTATATTATTCAGCTTTGTTCGGGTATTTTCCCACGTCATTATAGTTGTGCTTTTAAAGTTGTAGCAACGTTTCGGCAGGATCTCATCTGCCATCATCAGGCTTCTGTACTGTGTTCGTCTGTGAGTCAGACTTTCACAGCCGTTTCAGTTTTAAATTTGGGGCTAGGCTACTGCTGTGCCAGAATGGTTTTTTTCTTCATCCTGATTGGTTGGGAGTCTTGGTCTGTGTTTATTGGTCTTGGAGTTTGTTGTGTTCTGCTTGATTAGTGTTTCTAATATCTTCTGTCTATTTTGTGGCTTTTTTTTGTCTTGATTGGCTGGCAACATTGTGTTCCTGTATTGGAGGCTTTTAGTGCGGCTTGGCTCTGAATAAATGGACGGCTATCATTTATTAGGAAGTTAGGTTTCATCTGGGTGCCTGGCTGGGGTGTGTTTGAGCTGGAGGTATCAGGGGGGATCTGTTTGTGCCCAGGTGTTTGCCTAGCTTGTGGTGTGGAGATTTTTTTTGTTTGTGAGTGCAGGCTTCAAAATAATTGACAGCCTGGTGGAATCATCTCTTCTATTCATGCTTTCAGGTCTTTTTTCAATCTCTATGGCTTCTCTGATGATTCTGTGGCTGGGGTTTTCTATAGTGGCTAGGGTTTGGGTGCCATTGAAGTCGATGCTATAACCTGTGGCTTTCATGTGTTGGACTAGTGAGGAAGTGTGTTCCAGCTTTTTTACTGTATTTTTGTGTTCATCCAGGCAGGTACTTATTCTTCTATTGGTCTGTCCGATGTATGTGGCCGGGCATGATGCGCAGGGGACTTCATATATGCCTTGGTTTTCCAGGTCAATTTTATCTTTTGGGGTTTCTAAGGATGGCTGCTATTTTTCTGTCTGTTTTGAAGGCAGTCTTGATGTGATGCCTGTGTAGTATCTTACTGTAGTACCTCTTGTGTAGGGCAGGACAGCTGTTCCATAGGTCTGTTCATCTTCTAGGTCTCCATTATGTCTCAGTGTGTTTTTGTGGATCAAGCCGGTGATTTTGCTTTTGTGGAAACAGTTAGCTGTCAGTACTTTAGTCAGGGTGCACAGTTTAGTCTTTATGTGTGTCTTGTCTGCCAGGCATTTGGTTTTGGCTATTAGTGTTTTGGCCACGTAGTTTATCAGTGCTGGGTGGTGGTGGGACTGGGCATTGAGGTAGCAGTTGATGTGTTTTCTTCTGGTATATGGTGTCCTAGTGTGCCATCTGTTTTTTTGTAGATTAGTACATCTAGGAATGGTAGTTGTTTGTTTCCGTTTCCATGGTGAACTTGATTTTGGGGTGTGTGCTGTTTAGGTGTGTTAGGAAATTGTTTAGGTTTTCTTTTCCATGGGGCCAAATCACAAATGTGTCATTGATGTATCTTAACCATAGTTTGGGTTTGTGGGAGGCATTAGCTAGGGCTCTGGATTCAAATTCTTCCATGAACAGGTTTCCAATGACCGGTGACAGTGGTGAACCCATAGGGATCCCATGTAAGTACCCGCGAAAACTTAAGAAAACATGTATGTAAGTATGTGTTTATGTGTCTGTCTGTCTGTCTGTCTGTCTGTCT